GGAAATTATAAAGATCAAGTCAAAAAACAATGCAATGGAGACTAAGCAGACGATACAAAAAATCAATGAAACCAAGAGTTGGTTCTTTGAAAGAATCAACAAAATTGACAAACCCTTAGCCAACCTTGTCAGAAAAAGGAAAGAAATGGCCGAAATCCATGCAATTAGGAATGAAAAGGATGAAATTACAAAGGACCCAGCAGAAATCCAGAAGATCATCAATACCTACTTCCAGAACATATACGCCAATAAGATGGACAACACAGAAGAAATGGACAGATTCCTAGATACGTATGAATTACCAAAGTTGAACGAAGAAGACCTAAAGATTCTAAACAACCCAATATCAATCAATGAAATTGAAAACATAATTAAAAACTTACCAACTAAGAAATGCATGGTATGGAAAGGAAAGAAGGGAATGGAATTAATATGAGAAAATGAAAAAAGGAAAACAAAGTCTTTGTAAATAGGGAGGGATGGAGTGGTTGAAGGGAGGGCGGGGGAATGAGGAAAAAATAAGATCCAAGGGAGATTACGTAAAGGTGCAAATTTCGAATGATGAATGTCATTATGTTGTATACCTAAAATGTACCAATAAAATTAATTTTAAAAAAAAGAAAGATAACTTTAAGCATTCATAGACAAATGCATGCAACTTGCTATTTTTTGAAGAAGTTCTAGAAGTCCTCTTTTGTGTCTTTATGAATTATGATAAAAATACAGTGAATCCTGCTGCTGAATGCCATTCAAAGGAAAGGCAGGCTTGGAAAAACATCAAAGTGTGTCCTCGTCCACCTTAGTCACTGGATCTGGCACCGTGCACCTTCTGTTCTTCCCAGAAGTCAAAATGACCATGAAAGGTCAACATTTTGTATCAATTTAGGTCACTGAGACTTCCAGGACTATGCAACTAACACACTTACGAAAGTGTCTTCCCTAACTAAAACACTTATGAAATGTCTTCTCAAACTACTTCAGAATGTGGCAAGAATGATGGGACAATTGTGTTCAAAGCGAGAGGGGGGGTATTTTGAAGGAGATTAATGGCAATGTGTCTTTTATGTAATACATTTTTAAAATTTAGGCATTCATTGCATATTTTGGTCACTCCTGGTATCTTCAGCCAATTTTATCTCCCAAAGCTGCCAAGCCTCGTACCCAGTGATTACAAAGGAGTTTTTTAATTGAGGCCAGAATCGGCCAATTTCACCTGGAGGTCCACAAAGAAAACAGTTATCTTTGCCTTTCCCCTGGTGGCTCTTACTGACAGCTCATCTGAACACTTTCAGTTCATCCAAACTGTTCATTACTACAGATGAAAGTGAACTCTGTGCTCTTCTTTGTCAGATTTCTTCACCTGAGTGATCACTTTTATCCCTCACTACCAATTAGAAAGTTAAAAGAATCAATTTTGAATAGAAAGGCTTTTATGAAGCATGAGCAATTTGAAACACTTTTTCCTAAGTGACATTTCTAAATAGTATTTCATATTTCAGAGCCATATATATATATATGTATGTATAATACAGTAGCCACTGGAACACCAGCTGTTGCTTACTTTCTCTCGATGCAAATTTACTTTGTCTACCTTGGAGATTAACCATGATATGGCAGAGCTGGGCTTTCTACCCATGAGGAGAATTTCTGGTTTGTTTCATGATTTATCTTTGTCTAAAAGTGACCCTTTAAAAACATTAAAGAAAAATTCTTTTCCAGTACTGGGGATTGAACCCAGGGCCTCATACGTGCTAAACAAGTAAGTGCTCAACTACTTAGCTACAAACCTAGCTATTCTTATTTTGAAACCTGGTCTCCCTAAGTTGCTCCGGCTGGCCTTGAACCTAAAATTCTCCTGCCCCAGTCTCTGAATAGCTTGTGTTAGTGGTCTGTACCACCATGCTGGGCTAAAAGTTACTTTTGTACACTTGATCTGTCTTCTGTTTTGGGGAAATTAGAAACCTTTCCTGAGGAATTGCAGGAAGACGGGTGTGGAGAGATCATTCCCTTGTGAGGAAGGAAACAATGTAAAAGTACAACAGGGTCTTTCTTAAGTATGCTAGACAGTGTCTCAACTCCTCACCTTTGGAAGAGAGGAAATCAAGTGGTTTGTCATCTTAGTTCTTATGGATAAAATAGGGAGTGAATGTGTGTGCACACACACATTTGTGATTGATCTTGAACACTCCAAATGATCTTAGCTAGGCTTGATAGGAAAAAGACAACAGACCCAGTAAATACAGGGAATGATTTAAGATGATGAGTATTGTTTATATCTTTTTCTCACACTCCTGAAACAATCATTTAAGAGTCTCTTCTGCATGAAAAGAAAAGAAAATGCCTGCCAGCATTACTAAAATTTATTTTAGGAAAGACTTGCATTGTTAAAGCATCACCAAGCATCTGGTTTAAAGGGCGTGGGTAGGAACCAGAGATTATGTGACTAAATTGAGACTTTATCCACCCCTCCTCCATTCTAATTCTCATTTAACTATTTGCTACTTCATTTCTGGAATGATGAGGGGGCACTACTAAGCCCACAATATAAGCATCCTGGAATTTTTATTTAATTGTACAGTTTTTTTTTTTTATGAGAAGTGTTATTCTTAGCTAATAATATACTGCTGGGTTCCTGGATCATTCACTAGAAATACTGCTTTATGTCCCACAATCTCAAGGAGAATATCTGTCATAAAGTAAGAGCTTTTGTTATAACTACCTTATCCATGGAAGTTGGGTACATAGTGAATGAAAATAACAAAATAATATGGACGTAGGAAATGGATGCACTTTGAGACCATAATGTTAAGTGAAATAAATCAGCTACACAAGCTTAACTATCGCACAGTTTCTCTTATGTGAGAAACCCAAATTATAAACAAAGACCAAAGGAAAAGATAAATGATAAGAAGTAGGGAGACAGTCCTTTCTCAAATGGGAAGGGGATCAAGAGATGGAGGAAGAGGGGGAGAAGGGAAGGGGAAGGGGATGAGAAAAAGGAGTGAAGATATGTTATATGCATGTACCAACTCCACACAAGGAATGCAAGCATTATGTACTGAAAGCATGGACTAATAAAAAAGAATTACATATCTGGATGTTAAATGGAATGAAAGCAAATTCAGGGTGTTTGTATCCAAGAGATGTTGTTTAAATAAAGCTCAAATAGAGGTCAGTCTTATGAAGAACTGTAAAGATGTGGATGAGTGAAGCAAGGGGTTATGGTGGGTGAGGGAAGCAGCTCTTGCAGGGTGCCCTTAAGTAGGGACAGAAGGAGTGCAAAGGGATATATAGTGTATTTTACAGGTTATAAGATCAGATCCAGTAGAAGGAAGACTATTGGATAAGAGAAAGGGAAAAGGGTGGAGGGGAATGGAAAGTGTAAGGGAGAGTAATAGGGGAGATGGATATGATCAAAATATGTCATATGCATGTATGGAAATTTCACAGTGAAACTCAATATTTTATCAAATTAACATCCATTAATAAAAATATATTAAAAAGCAAAACTAAAAGGAAGGAAAATATGTCTTGACTGGGATCTTCTCCCGCTCTATCCTTCAGTACAATTCTCTACAAATAAATGTCTGTGTGAATCTCTCCTACCCCTAGGTATATGTACAATACCTTACATTGATCATGTTGGAAAATATGGCAGGCATTCTGCAAAACCCTGGATAGATACCCAGTAGCTAGTCTCAAAAAATTCCAGTAGTGTTAAACCTGGAGATGTTAATCTGATCTTTGCTTTAGTTGTTACTTGTTTGATGATTGCAGACTCTTTAAAGCTATCAATCTCTGAGAGCAAAAGCTAAAACCTTAGTAGAGAAAATATTTTAGAGTAAAGTATCCTTGAAATCACTACCAAAATTATGATCATGCCACTAGGGAGTTTTAGACTAGACTGTTAAATGCACTGTCCAATAAAAATTTCTGCGGTGATGGAAATGTTCTATTTCTACCTGTGCTGTCCAATACAGTATCCCCTAACCACATATAGCTATTATGCCTGAAAATATGGCAAGAGTGATTAAGGAATTGACTTTTGAATTTTATTCAACAGTGGCTAATTTAAGCAGCCAATTGTGGCTAATGTTTATCTTACTGGGCAGCACAACTTTATATAAGGACTGGCCTGGCTCCTTGCCTTGTGATGGGAAAAAGAGTGCTTTTTCCTTCTCACAGATGGAATCACTTAGGCTTTAGCTGTGGGCACATTTACAACCCAGGTTTTCTACAAGTCTAGCTCCTGGTATTACATCAAATTGTGCATAGGTAACACATATGTAGGTTCTCTACGGAACACACTTGTCAGACTAGGTAGGATGTATTCATCCTTTGGTGTTTTGAATCTGGCTTCTGTATTAGATTTTTTTCTTTCAGGCCAGTTTTCAGATTGTGCTGTGCATCAGAATCACCTGGAGGGCTTGTTTGCCCATAGATCTCTGCACTCCATCCCCAACAATTATGATTTGGTAGGTCTGAGGTGGCATATGAGAATTTGCATTCCCAAAAAGTTCCCAGGTGATTCCAACGCTAACATACTTTGAGACCCACAGCAATGGATCAGGCCCTTACCTCAATCTCTGGTTCCAGGAACCTATTCCTGCTTTAATTCTTTCTATGCCAGTGCTTTACTCTCTTCAAGATAATCTAGTTTCTCTGGGCCTAGAGACTTTCTTATTTTCATCAGTTTCCCCAAGGGTTGAAGTAGGAGTTGCACCTTGAACTCCAGTACCTGTGACCTTACTTTCTATTGCTGACCAATTGTTTGTCTGGAATCTTGCTAGCTCTTACCTTGAGGCCAGATTCTTTGTGACCCTGTATGGTAGCTTCCCTGGACCTATCTTTCACCAGTGCTTACCTATGTGGCTTCCCCATGTTGCTCCGTGCTGAAACTGCCCTAAATACTTCTCTCATGTCCTAGCTTCAGTCTCCTATGTACTTGGCCTGTCTTGACAGCTGAGCTCCAGTTTTGACACACTATCAGTATTGAGTACCTGCCAAGGGAATTGACCTGGCTTGGCATTTTCTCCACCAACAACCCGAGCGAAGTCATCAGTTAGCTCAGTGCTTTCAGTGATGTTATCCCAAATGATTTCAGCCTCAGTATAATTTTCATAGTCCATATCAGAAAAAATAGACTCAGCACGGGTGAGTTTCTTAGACTTGTATGGGATAGAAATTCTTCCGCATGGGAATGGTACTAGAAAAATAGACAAAACAATTAACATTCCAATCTTTCTTAATGGCAAACAGAGCATGCATTGCAAAAATTGAGAATGAGGTCCATCCCTGTCATTTCTGAGAAACAGGCCCATCAATATTTTTAAAAATCTAATCAGTGAAGGGCCAGGATTTAGCTCAGTGACACCGCATCTGCCTTGCAAGCTCAAGGTCCTGAGTTTGATCCCCAGTACTGAAAAAAAATCTAATCAGTGAATATAGTATTAAAAGAAAAGGCTGATTGCATTATTTTCATGGAAAGTTTTCAAAGTCTTCATGGAAAAAATATTTGGCTAAGGAATCCACCATCTTTGTGCAAATATGGGTGTCTTGGATCAAATTTGGTAAGGCTTTAAAAAATTTTTATTAGTATATATTTGTGATATGTGATGATTACATTCCTGGTGGGCAATTGACACATGTACATGACACATCTTCATTCTTTTTACCTTTCCTACGTTGCCCCCGCTCCCTTCCTCCATCTCTCTATCCCCTTCAATTTTGCAAAAGATCTATCTACCTGTTTCCTACTTTCTCTCTTTTTATTTTGCTCTTCAATTTATTTATGCTTTGGTGTCTCATATAAGAGAGAAACTGTGTGATAGTTAAGCTTGTGTGTCTGATTTATTTCACTTAACATTATGGTTTCATGGTGCAGGTAAGACTTTTATAGGGTCTAATGACCTTCTGTTTAGTTTATTTACTAAAGTCACCTTCCAAGTGCAAGCCTTGAATGGAAGTCTGGTGATTGGTGCCATGTACCTTTAGCATTAGAAGTTGGTAAATGGGACTTCTGATGCTTATCATTAACAGGGTTTCTTTTGTAGACTAGACCACTGCAGATTTCAAGGTAAATTTTCAGTGTTTGTTGAAGAAACAGCACTATGATTCAATTATTTGGGTATCAAATATTAACTAAATACATTACCAATATGACAATCAGGGCCATATTTACATGGGACCTGACCACCTTTTTTCCTTGGGTTGGTTTATTTCCTAAAAAAAAATTTTACAGATACATTGCAGAATCCCAGAATGAAAATTTTTAGTCAAACAAAGTCACTTCACAGTTAATTTTCATTTCCCACTTTCCTCCTAGCCACATTCCTTATAACAGACATTTCTACAACAATCAGCTGCAGCAAAGTATCATGAAGGCTGCATGTGACTGAGAAAGCAGGAAATTAGTTCAAAATACTTGTGTATAAATATACATGATCGACAATGGCTAGAGGAAAGGGACCATTATCTTTGAAAAGGTAGCAAAGCTTATTTTAGGTTTGGCCTACTTATTCTGCTAAAGCTAAGGCTACACTGTATTCACATATGACACTTAATAGTTAGAGGCGACTCTCCATTGTTTTCCTCTCTTACAGAAAGGCTTGTAAGGGCTTAGCTATTATGCCTTCTGTCAACATCGGAAGTTAGCTTTTAAAAGTTAAATGCATAAACACATGTGTATGCACACACACATGTGTATGCACACTCACATGTACGTCCTTCTCCTAAGGTATGCTAGTTTTATGTATGTGCAAAAACAGGCAGTATAGGTGGTCTAGCCTTGAAGCATTAGACTCTTCATTTTAGTTACAGCATGTATACTCTTGGTTTCAGGCCCTTTCTTTAATTTCCTCTGCCTAGTGCATTGCTGAGATAGGTATCGAACCCAGTTACAGAGAAATGGTGCGTGATTCAACATGCCTTTGGCTTTGGAAATGCAAAAGAAATTATATTTAGCTTATTTCATAAAGGTCCCTCACTTATCAAATATAATTGATCCTGCAGAGCCTACTTTTTAAGAAACAAATTTCTACTCCTATTTTCTTCAGTGAAGAGCAATGTGAGTGTGGAGTGGAGATGTTCTGAATACACCAACTAGCTGCCTACATGGTGGCATGGTCACCATGACTGGAAAACATCGCTCTGTCCATTGCTCTGTAGACTGTGCTTATCAGCCTAGCAGAACTTAGACAGCGTTTGCTAAAACCATTCTGACATCAAATGTATCAGCTCAGCTTGAGACCCAAAGTCAGAAAATAACTTTCTTAGTATAATCCAGCCAGGCCCTGACAGATTTATGCTTAAAATTCACCATCTTTATACTAGAAACCTATCACTAAGACAATTATTTGTGCACTTTTATGGTAAGTACTCTATTACTGTATTCATTTGACTAGATGAATATCCAATATTATACATAGAAATCACACAAATTGATTGCTCTGTGATGTAAAAGTCAGTGAAAGTAATTGGACATATAAAAGAATTCAGGCTGTAGATAATTACAGAATTTATTTTTAAAATGATGATGTGACTTGGAGAATGGATTTGTCTAATTCAGGTTACTGATCTTTTGTTTCATTTCAAAAGGAAGTAATACAAACAGGGATTAAAAGTAGGTAGTTAAAGTGCTAAAAGTTCAAATATAGATGTCCTTTAAAAATGTGTTGAGGGGCTGGGGATTTAGCTCAGTGGTTTTGCCGCCTGCTAGGCCAGTACAAGGACCTGAGTTCGATCCCTGGTACCAAAGAATAAAAAATAAAAAACATAAAAATAAAAATGTGTTGAGATTCTGACCTGCTGGTTCACAAGACTTTTGGTCTTTTGCAAGTTGGTATCCCTCAGTACAGGAACAAACCACCTTGTTATTAGCGTCCCTCTCACAAAACTGCTTGCATCTGCCATTCTTAATGCTGCAGGTTGCACCTGAAAGAAAGCAAAACCAACAGTCATATCATAATTTCACGTGCATTTCTAAGAAATATGTGGAACTACTGACTCATGTGTGGGTCAAATATAAGCTTGGAGCATTCATGGCCATGGCGAGAAACTTAGGGCCTTGAGCTAAGGGTAGAAAGGAGGATAAAATTAAATTCTCAGTAAAGTATACAAGAGGCAACAGGGATATATGGATTTGGCGTAAAACTAAATGATTGGGCATTATACTTTCATTAAATCATGGGCTGCAATTTAAAACCTGTTCATAGAAGTAGAACTCAAATTTATATTTGCATGGGTTTACACAAAGTCACAGGCATTTCTCGTTTAACGACCTACTCCTTTAACGATTGTTCAGACTTATGACCAAGGCACGCTGTTCGGACTTATATCCCACTGCATGGACTTGGGACCCACCCCTTTTTTTGGTACAGTTCTGTAAACCTTGTTTATAGAGCCTCAATGTCTTTTTTTTGGTACAGTACACCTTATTGATATAGTACTGTAATTTTTGATGATTATACTGTACAGTATCATACTATAGTTTTATGTTCTGTTATACTGCATGTAAGAGTTATGGAAATGAAAACAAAGTCACCAAGTTGCAGTTTTCTTTGACCATTTCTGTGTTCTGAATATTGTAATGTGCATGTTATATACAGTTCCTCCTTTAGCAGCCAATTCATTTCATGATCTAGTCGCAGGAATGGAACTCGGTCCTTAAACAAGGAATGTCTGTGAATGCATCTATTTAAACACTGCACAGATCAATACACAGGATATTATCAAAACCCCAGGAGCCCTCCTAATGCTCCCTCTCACTGTATCCTTTCTCCTCACAGATTACCATGACCTGACTTGACACAGTGAACAGTCATAAATTCATGTAAATAGCTCACAATATATACTCTTCTGTGTCTTTAATTTAACCTTTTGTCTGTGAGATTCATCTATGTGGATTTTGTATAGCAGTAATTCACTTACATGTTTGTGTAATATTTCACTGTACTGATACTGCAACTTATACTCAACCATTCTATTAATGGATATTTGGGTTGTTGTCAGTTTTTGGCTCCTACCTATAATACTGTAATGAATATTCTTGTACATATCTTTTGATAACATAAGCATGCTTTTTTACTGGATTTCTACCTGTTAGTTAAACTGTTGGAGCATACTTTTAAGTCCAGTAGATACTGCCAGGCAGTTTTCTGAAATGATAGTACAAATTCAAATCCCAACCATCAGGGCATGAGAGGTCATTTTTAGATATATGTATTGCAGATATCTTCCTCCACTCTGCAACTTGCCTTTTCTCTCTAAATATTGTCTTTTTCTGAACAGAAGTTCTAAACTTTAATACAGTCAAGCTTACTGATCTTTTTATTTGTGGTGAGTACTTTTTGTATTCAGTTTAAGAGATTTTCGGAGCTGGGCATGGTGATACCTGCCTGTACTCCCAATGTTTTGGGAGGCTGATGCAAGAGGATTGCAAATTTGAGCCCACACTGGGGAACTGAGATGTATTTCAAAATAAGATGAAAAGGGCTTGGGACATAGCTCAGTGGTACAGTACTTGCCTAGCATGTGTGAAACTCTGGGTTCAATCCCTAACATTGTAAAAATAAGAGTTTTTGTGTATCCCAAGGTCATAAATATACAACTTTGTTGTTTTGTATTTCATATTTAGATCCTTATTCCACTTGGATTTGATTATATGCGGTGAGGTAGGGATACAGATATATTTTTCCCTAAATATGTATGCAGTTTTTCTATCATTATTAATTGAAAACATCTGTCATTCTGTTCTTCACTGCAGTTGCTCCTCTTGTCATAAATCAAATCTCTTTGTATTATGGTTTATATCTGAATGTCCCCTCAAAGCCTCATAAGATCAAAGTTGGGGCTTTGGAAAGGTGATTGGATTGTGGAAGCAGTATAGCTGACTTGCTGTTAGGAGGTGGGGTCTGGTTGCCAGAGTGAGGTCACTGTGGGCATGACTGGAAGGGTGCATCTCTCTTCCTGGCTCCTCCCTTGACCTTTGTGCTTCCTGGATGCCATGAAGTGAGCAGCTTTCCTCTGCCCAGTCCCTCCCACTATGTCTTTCTGCCTTGGAGCCCACTGACTATGGATTGAAATGTTTACAAACTGTGAGCCAAAATAAACCTCTCCTTCCCTAAATTGTGGATGTCGAGTATTTTGTCCCAACAATGACAGAAGTAACTAAGACATTTTTCATGTGCATGTATGTTCCTGGACTCTCTAATTGTGTTTCATTGCTCTATTTGCCTACCCTTGTTTCAATACCACACTATCTTAATTAACGTATCTCTATACATCTTGGTATTTGATAGTGAAAGCACTCCAATTTTATTCTTCCTGGAAACTGTCTTGGCTCTCCTTGGCCCTTTGCATTTTCATATATGAACATTTTAGAAATAACTTCTCAATCCTACCATATATACCAAAGAAAAAGCCTGCTGGGAGTTTTGATTGACATTGCACTGAATCTATTTGGAAAAAAAATATATATATATATATTTGTTTTTTTTGAGACAGGTCTCACTGTGTAGCCCAGGCTGGCCATGAACTCATGGCCATCCTCCTGCCTCAACCTCCTGAGTGCTGGGATTACAGGCCTGCACCACCATGCCTAGTTTATTAGGAAATAATTGATTCACTATATTGTGGCCATTAATCCATGAACATAGACTAACTATTCATTTATTTAGGTCTTCCTTGATTTTTCTTAATAATGTTTTGTAATTTTTTGTGTAGAATTCATCTACATCTTTCTTATTTTTATTCCTAAACATTTATTTTTATTCTATTATAAAATTTATTTTCTTTAATTTTGCTGGTATATAGATGCATAATTAATATTTGTATGTTCACTCTGTATCCAATAGCTTTTCTGTAAGTATTCACTTACTCTAATTGTTTAGGTCCTTTGGGTTTTCTATACATACAATCATTTTCCCAAAAGTTACATTTTTACTTATTTCTTTCAGTGAACAAGAAAAACAGCAACAACCACATAACTTCATGTAGATACTGCCTCTTTGCACCAAAATATAGTAGTCTCTGTTGCTTAGTTATTCTAGAAGTTGCTTGTCTTCCAGAGCTAACCAATTTAACAAATTACTTCCAGAAATAGAATCTGGAGAACCCTAGAAATTGTAGTGTTGGAGAGGCTGTAGGACCTGAAAGCAACTTGAAGCTGGGTGAAGTAGATATGAATCAAACACAAGAGAATGAAGTAGGGTCTTTTATGTAGCTAAATGCGAAATACATTATGCATTGACAGTGCTAATCATCCCACTGGCCTGCATTTTCTTTACTCTCCTATGTAGTCTCCCTTAATAATATAAAATACCTTTCTTTGTCTTTTGTAAAGGTTTTCATCTGGATTCTATTTTGTCTGATACTCAGATTGCTTTCTCAATTTCTTTTTGCCTGCACTTACCTGATAATTCTTTTTACCTCCCTTTATTTCAGCCTCCTTGTGTAATTTTATTTTAAGTATCTCTTTGTCAGCAGTATGCAATTAGATTTTAACTCCAAATTGAAAGTTGTCATTAATACATTAGTTTAACCCCACTTCACATTAATTGTGATTCGTGGTATAGTTAGCTTATTCCTGCCATGTTATTTTGTATTTTCTAATTACTATGCTTTCTCTGTGTTCCTCCTATGCAATCTCTGGAACAGGAAATAGCATGATTCAAGGCTTGCTAGCTGAGACCTGCTGAGTTCAGAGAAAGAAGCTGTGCCCTTGGCCCTATTTCTGTCTGTAGAGCAGCACAGGAATAAAATACATATAAGAAACCTTCCCCTTACATATACACTCAAATACAGTCCAACTTTCAATAGAAATTCTCGGTTGTCAGTGCACTTATAATATGGACAGGTTGAAAATGAGTGACCCTATTAGATACTTCCCACGCACTACCTTCATTTCTGTGGGGCTTACCTATGTCTTTTTCTAATGCCAATCAGCACGACATTAACTTCGATTGACCTTACACAAGTGCACCCTTGAATTGCCTTGGCTCATACGTGTACCATGTACATTTTCACTTCTTGCCTTGGGCTTCCATGTTGATGCTGAGGCATAAGATGTTCTATCACTCGCTGGGTACCCAAGCACAGCCAAGTGGCAAAAATGGCATATTAATTCCCTATAAGATGAACTTTTGACCAATGAAAGACAGATGCTGATGGGCAAATTCTTTCACCTCTTCTTGCCTCTTAGGCCCACTATCCTGAGACCAGTTCATCTGGCTTCTTGAAGAGAGTCCCAGGTGGTCAAGCAATCAGTTGCAGTTACAGGCAAGTAGTTTGATAATTCATCCTCTTATTGGTTTTCCTTTCCTCAACACCTCATTTTCCTGTCTCAGTCTTGTCTCCTAGGTTTGTGTCAACAGGCTCTTTTTTATAGAGGAATTCAAGCTAACAGTGTGATTATATGGTTTTGGAGGATACCATGAATTTTTGTGTGACAAATGGAAATTTTATAACTCTACTTTGCATATGATACCATAGGGTAATTTAATAATTAGCCTATAATCCTTACCGATAGCTCTGGAATAAGGAGATGCAAAACAGCTGTTATCAGGTGAAAAAAGGAACTAACCTGAGCTTTAATCTTTGCTAGCAAAACTTCATTAAATGCATGATCCAAAAAGATGGGACTTGGTCATTTTGCTTTACTCATTTGTTAAGAACTTTCTCATATTGAATGGTGATAACATCCCTGACTCTTTTCATGTTGCTAGCTACCATACTGTTTGCTATAAACCAATACTGAAGTGTTCAGCCAAATCAAATACCACCTGGAGAAGGTGTTCTGTCAATACAATCCGTTGACAGAGGTGAGTGATGGGAGCAGCCTGGTTTTATCCAGTGCATACACATTATGAATGAGGAAACTTGGTGTGGTTTTCCCAATTCTCATTCTGTGACCATGGTTAAGTAACCAGACCTCTTGATCACTTCCCTCATTTCTCATTGTTTTCTATGACCCAATGTGTTGCTGCTGCTGTTGATTTCTGGCTTGATTTGTGCATCTGGTGGAAACATTGCTGCCTAATCAGCAATCTTTTACCCTCAGGTAAAAGGCTTAAGAGTCAAGAAATAGAATAATACCTCAAGAAATTTCAGGGAAGAGGCCATTGGATCGGCACCTAAGAACCAGTCAGAATTGGACTCATTTATCAACTATGGAGCATTTAGATGTCACACACTGTTGGGCTTGGGTTCTGCCTGGTCCTGAGGCTGGTTTAGTGCCTAGAATATATGTTATAAAACATATTAAAGCATTTGATCTTCTTCCTTCATGTTAGCACAAACATTATTTCTAATTCTCTTCGTACCTACTTACAAAAGTTATCATATTCTGCTTTACTTTACTCTGTGTTCATCTTCCATGATGCATCCACTGATGTGCCAACCAAAGCTTGAATAAAAAATGTTCTGTTTAACAAGTTTGGTACAAAATGGGCTGTTATTCAACTAAACTCAACTTTTTCCCTCCACAGAGACACACAGAAAATAAGACAGTAGTTTTTATGATGTGCTGAAAAATTTTTTAAATGAGTATTTATATCTTGTGATTTTTTTTCTTTCTGTTCTATCTTACTGTTACAAGGAATGGTGATGATGATATTCTTATAGGCCTTGATCTATTTGAAAGCCATTTGGATCTGATGTACAGCTGGGGACATAAAGGGGTCTTTATTCTAGCTATAGGCACCCAGTAGCCAATTAATTGTTATTATTTTAAGTAGAAAGCATGCCCTGACTGTTTGTACCTCTCCCCCTTGATGAAAAGCCTGGTGATCAAGGGAAAAAGAAAACAAAGAGATCTTAACAATGGAAATCTTCATTCATTTTCTATGACAGGGTAAAGCAGGAGAAGCAGGAGACTTGGGGCCGAGACACTCTATAAACTGTTATCTAGTGGCTTATGAGTTTAGTCTTTAGTTCAGTTGAAGGTAACAGGCTTAAATGGGAGCTTGTATATGCTTTTGTTGTTGCTTTCCTCCAGTGTCTGAGATAAAGGGCGTTTTGAGAGAATTCCTGTTTTGTTTCTGCACTAATGGACTTGAAAGGGTTTTTCTAAACCTTGATCAGATTGCTTGGGTGAGATCAATATATCCTAGAGGCCAAGTGTGGTGGCCACTGCAGTACATCTGCAGGGCTCTGACCAAACAGAAATGTGGGAACCCTAAAGTATTGAGATGGAGTCTTAGTATTTTTTCTCTGTGGACCATAACCTCACCCTGTAGTTAACCCTATTATAGAAGTTCTGTGCTTATATTTCCATTCCTTGAGCTTACAGTCTTCATTCCTTTAAAGTATCTATATTTTTAAAATTAGATAAAGACATTTATTTTTTTCAATGACAGTTTAGTACAGTATGCCCTTCAGTTGTAACTGAGACTAAATGAGCTATTCATTCCCTTATCTCCAAAAGCTATATTATTTAAATTGATAATAAGTAACTACACCAAAGATTTATGTAGGTTTTCATAATAGCGGGATCAAATTTATCTAGATAAATCTGAATTTGAAATTACCACCTTTCAAATGAAAATAGCACTTTAGAGATGTTGAACCAATTAAAACACCCACAGGAAAGGTAATGTAGGCACTGGTTTGTCGCCACATTAGGAAATCTAAGGGAATGGGAGCTCAACTCAAGGATACTAGTTCATCCAGCTGCATTCACTTTTCTTTTCCTTTTTGAATGCTTTTGCACTGTCCCTTTTTCATTTTCTTCTAAGATCATTTAGACCTCAAAGGAAGATGATCAATGAATTTTCCTTTAGTACTGAAAGGATTTCTGAACATTACAGGCGACTTTTTTCCTTTCTCAATAGGACAACTGCAGCTGCTACATTTCATTTCATTTTGTCTCTTTTTCATCTGTCAGGGGGATGGCTATAATGCCTTAATAGTGTCCTGCTAATTTTCTACTCTTTATCCTTAGTCATGCAGCCTGTGGTGCTCAATTCTTTCCCTAGGATTGCATGTCTATTCTTCTAGAGTTTCAGAGCAGAGAGTCCCTTCTTAGCACTGTGTGTTTTTCACAGTCACAATACCATTAGTGTTGCACCCCGAGGTAGTAATCAAGTAAGTAAAGGACATTGGTGGTTTAATGCTACATTTACTAACGCCTCCAAATATCCTAGGCTATGAGAACAAAAGATATGCAATAATCCTAGACTTGTTGTATTACTTTTTTGACATAACCAATAAAATCAAATGCAAGGATGACTTCTGATCCTTGTCAATAAACATGTGAAATCCTTTGTATGTGTGTTTCTATTATATGGGATAATTGGCCTGTCATATTCCAGTTCTATATGTAATTGACTTCCTCTGCCTAGGTAGATAGCAATTTAGTCACAATTTCAAACAATTTTATGGGTTAGTTTCTCTCAGAGTTTTCAGTCTAGTTGTTAGGAGCATGGGTTTTCATCAAACTGAAATTGAAGTTCTGGCTCAGCCATTTATGATTTTGAGCTCCAGGAGCTGCAGTTTTCTCATGTGCATAAAATAGGGATGATAATGGGACTGACCCTATATGGTTGTACTGAGGATTAATAAGAAAAGCAACTGTAACAAAGGTATCACTTAATATTTTTACCAAATGTTGTTATAGCTCTTAATACAGTTTCTTGAACTCTATCCTGAAAACTATGACTACAGATAAAGCAAATGTTTACAAGCCTTGAAAGTATGTTTTCAAGAGATACTTATGATACATAAATGTTGCATATTCCAGTTTCATTTGTTTTCAAAAAACTTTGAATAAGAAATAGTAAAAAAAAAAGTAGTTTCTTACCTAATTCACAATTCTGCCCTTCAAATCCAAGTGGACACCAACATTCATAAGCATTAATGTCATCCTTGCAACTGCCACCATTTAAACATGGATTGGACTCGCACTGATCTCCATCTTTGAGATAGGTTAGGAAAGTGAATAATCAAATAAATTGCTCAGAATGTCAATCTTCTCTTGCATAGAGTTATGGGGAATGGGAATCTGATTTTAGGGTCAGAACAGAACTACTGACCTGGAAGCCAGCTGCCTATAAGCAAGTGATGCCCCATATTTCTGAGTTTCTAAAGATCACCCCAGCAAAGGTTTTCAGGCTAACAGTAACCTAGCAAATGGCCCCAGAAAGACATGTCCATAGTTTATGCGATCCAAGGGAAGAGGAATAAGAGTATCTTGGTGTAGAAATGCACTGTATCAGCACAGGGTCAAGAAGATCTTCAGTCCTTCTTTATAGAATAATGGCAGAGTTAACACTAAATCAAACCATACCCAATCATTTCAATACTATCTACATGCCATACAAGACCTGCTTTATTGCAGGTCTTGCAGAACAACCTGAGCTAGAAAATAAATGATACTTCCACTCAAGTAACTGGTGGCCTGAGCATGGGACAAATGGGTCTACTTCTATGTGTTGTCATTTAATGTTTAAGTGTCATGTGCTATAAGGATTCAAGACAATGGAAAAGAAGCCAGAGGTACGTGTTATTGCTTAGAGATAGTCTCTTGTCTACAAGTTATGTTTCAAATGGTCTAGGTGAAGTGAGACATAATGTTCAATAGATCACAAACAATTTAAAGATTCTGTGGTGTGCTTTAAGTATGTATAGATTGGTTGTTTTCATTCTATCTTTTCTGAAGTTTCCACATTTACAGAGGTCCTGAAAGCCTTTGAAGACACTGGTAGTAAGAAAAGAAGAGGAAGGAATAGGCAAGAGCAGAAGGGGTAGGGTGAAAAGAGAACCTCTAAGTCTGGTTTCTTAGTGCTGTGCCTCAATTCATAAGTCTAAGAAAGCTTCAGGAGAAAAGAACCAATATGTCTGGAAGGGAGAGTGGTACACACTTTGAAAAATAGCCCTGAAGTAGAAGTGGCTCTCATTTTAAGTAAGACTCAGTAAGTGAGGAAGAAAAGAGTAAGAGATAAAAATGACAGAATCAAAGAAAGAGAAAAGGGGAAACCAGAGGAAAATTTCTAATTATTAATCTTACTTTAAAGGAAAGCTACTCGACGTCGAGTATGTATATGCCTGGCTGCCTTTCCTCTTTGCCAGAAAGCATGTATCCAAGCTCTATTGACTAAGAGACTAATACCCCTTTCTCAGAAATAGTCTCTCTGTGGAAAATCTGCTTGCTGTAAAAATTAGACCTTGTCCCCTCTGCCCTTTGATCCAGTGTGCTTTTGCGCAAATACTTTAATTTGTTCCAATTCTGTGAAAACAAAATATGTTATCTCTGGTTTATTATTATTGATGGTCAGAACTGGTCTAAAAACAAACTACATTTGCACTTTATATTATAGACAAACAATTCTGAATTATTAAGGATGTTTCACTGAAAGGGTCTGGGCTTGCAGCCAGCTACACAGGAACTCATTTACTGAAACATATCTTTAAAATGAGTGTCATTTTACCCTGCATTTAGTCCTCCTTTGGGTTCTTGTCTGTGTCTACTTTGGGCTGAGACAAAGCCATGGTCAGTATGGGTCAAAGACAAGAGACAAGACCTTGTCAAGTGAGGGATTCCTGTTTAAAACCACTAGGTTCTTTTTAATGAGCAACTGTGTTTAGATTTAAAGGCGATGAGGTGTAATAGTGAAAGCAAGGGGTCTGGCAGTAGAGAACTGGGGTTCTCTTCTGGGTTTTACTCCCCAGCTGAGTGACCTTTGGCAAGTCCCATAACCTCACTAAGTCTCAGTTTTCTTCTCTGCAAAATGGAATTCATAATGCTTTGCTCACAAAGATGGTGTGAGGGTTGAATGTGATACCCATTCTACAAATGTCTTCTGTAAACAGCACCCTGAAAAGTGCTGACAGATACTATGTAATGTGGTTGGGTGATTATTCCTCAGCCAGGCTCTTTGCATGGTGGATTAGTGGGAGAGAGTAGGACAGTGGTGAGGAGCCTGGGATCCCCATCTCTGTGTGAAAAATAGCATGCGCTACTTTTATGATGGTTAGGAATCTTTACTGCAAGTGAAAATAGGCATTGGACTTGTTTCTTTTGTGTTATTGTTCTTGTTCCTTTATTCTTGATAAAAAGTAGCAGCATCGGAAGTACACCCTGGATGTTTCCCAGGTATCTGTGCCCAAGGTATAGCAAATGATGCATCTGTATGAACGTGAAGGCAGGGGCCAAACTTACAATTCGCTGCTAGGGCTGGGACATATGGAAGGTGGGCAATGAAGGGATTATGGGAGTTTAAATACATCCAGGAATATTATGTTTGGAAAGGTAGATGTTGATTTGCTTTTAAAAAGTGATAAGATTCAAAGTTTTAAATTCAGTAGCAATAGAGAATTGGGGAAAAAAACTTGTCTGGAAGAACTTTAAGGGTCAAGTAGAAATGGGCATAGGGCATGGTAGCATTCATCTATAAAAACAAGGAAATGTAAATAAAGCAATATAATGGAGTGAGCCTATTTTTCTCTCATGGCTTAAAAACAAAGGTGGAAAAATCATGAGTTATAAGGATATGAGAATGTCTAACAGTGTCTCTAGAATAGGAATTGTAGAAAATAAAATTGGACCTCAAAGTGATGGAACTCAGTGAATTTAGTATCCAGGTTAATTAGTTTTCATCATTACAGATGGTTTTAGGTATGTCAGCCTGTGAAACTTCCCTCAAAATCCTATTGCAAGATTTTAAATTAGTTTTAAAATTAGTTGTCACTAAAGTATGGCTTCTCCTCCTTTTGGTCAACTCATAAGATACATATTTACTAAGTACCTCTGTTTCAGATATTGTTCCAGGTGCCAGGAATCCACCAAGAAATGAAATAATTGATTCCCTGCCAAAATGGAACCTGCCTTCTAGTAATGTGGGAAAAATCAATGATAAATTGTATAAGAGAAATGCTATATTAGATGAGTGCTAAAAGTTTAGCATCCCTAATAAAGTCCAAAATACAAATTGCTCCAAAATCCAAAACTTTGAGCACCAACATCACAAGTGGAATATTCCATACCATGAAACTTGGTTTCATGCACAAACTTATCAAAAGTATTGTATGAAATTATCTTTGAGCTATGCACATGAAACATAAATGAATCTTATGTTTAGACTTGGGTCCCATCCCTAAGACATCTCATTGGATATATGCAAATATTGCAAAATCTGAGGAAAACCCCCCTGAAATCTAAGATACTCCTGGTCCCAAGCATTTCAGATAAGGGCTACTCAATAAAACAATAGAGTGAGTTATGGGTATCTAGAGTAGTTAGGGGCCCTGGGGGACAGGTTGGAATATTCACAGATGATCTAGGGAGGCCTCATTGAGATGGGGCCACTTGGGCCCAGAGCTGGGAAAAGCCAGCCAGATACAGCCAGTAAAGTGTTCCTGGAGCCCAGGTCTAGAGAGGAGAGCAGTGGAAGAGACTAAGAGAAGGCAGTAGGAAGCAGGGCAAGGGTGAATAAAGAGGACCTGGTAGACCATCATAAGAGGGAAGACTTTGCAGCAATAAACATTTGTCAGTCATCGTTCTGTGACTGTCTACTGAAAACTGCAAACTCTCATTTAGTCCCTAGATGCAACCATTTTGATGTCTTCCTTCCAGCTTCCTGGGGTGGAATGATATTCTTTGTGAAGCTCTAGGAAGGAGTTAGCTTATCTGTCAGCTGATACTTCCCAGGCTGGCAGTCTATCAACATCCAATTTTGGGTTAAAGAGTTGGATGGATTTTTCTGAGACCTTCTGACAGACTTTAATATCTTTTTATATAGAGAAAAAAATACATAACTCTTGAATGTTTCATATACCAACCAGCTACAGGATAAAATGAATTGCTTACCAACATACTGCTTCCAAAATTCAGTCTATAAAGAAAAAAAAACCAAGGAGAGGAATTAATGGTAGCATTTAAAATGTTTTGATGTTGACTTTTCTTTTATACCATTTATAATGCAAATATATGTACATGTACTTTAAAATTCCAAAGAGAAGTATCTCTTTTTTAAAAGATTTTCTATCTTTTGCTCTGAAACTGAAAGATAGGATGTGTGAATACTCACAGTTTTTTCAGTGTTTTCAAAAACTTCTCGTGCTTCTTCAAAATTACACCGTTCTTCCAAACATTCTCTCTCAAGGTTTCCTCGAATAACTTCTTCCAATTTTCCTGAATTATACCTCTTTGGCCGATTCAGAATTTTGGTGGCATTTTCTTGATTAAGAAAAACTGAAATTTAAAACAACCATTCTTTAATTAAAAAAAGAAAACATAATGCAAATTAAATACACCTCTTAAGAAAGGCTTTGTTTTTAATCCAAGTAATCCCAAAGCCAATTTCTCTTTGTGGCATGGAGCCAAAATCTGGGATGTTCTCACAGTACTGTACACACATAGAGATTTAGGAATTAAATTTCAATTTTACATTTAGTCAGGAGAGCTCCAATAAGAAAAGGTCAGATTTTCAATCGTATTTGAATTTACTTTGGATGAAAAAGAAAGTTTTCAAATAAGCAGTTAACTTCACACTTTGCCATCACTTGAAAATAGCTCATTGCAGATCCCTGCAGGGTAATCCATCACCCTGGCTGGACTGTGTTTTCAGGATGCAGTTGCCCAATGGCTTTGCACCAAATGTCTCTTGAATAACAGAATCCCAATTTTGGTCTAGCTGCCAATGTGACCCTAGTGCCTCTCACTAGATGTTAAAGAAAAACTCCTGCATTAATTTTTTTTTAATCCTCAGACAAACAATACCTTTGGTTGGTATGTGTAATAGGAATTCCAGCAATGTATGCATTTCTCAGAGTGTGGTTTATTTCAGCTGGGTCTCTCTAGTCTGTAGAGACACTCCAGCAACTTGGGGGTCTGAAATCTTTACCTTCCCTCCCTCCCCAACCCAGCCTCTGTGCCTGTCTCTGCCTCTTTTTCTGTACACATATGCATGCACATACAGGTACTTATATCTGTGGGTATGTATATCATTAATAACAAGAACTCAAGAAGTTGCCTGGAGCTTTTCCTTTTGCCAAGAGACGAACAATAAATCTGGTATCTCCACAGGACCAAGTACTTACAAGTTGAACTTTCTAGGGCATTTGGGTCTACTTTCTCATTAACTCCAAAAAGAAAAAGAGATGAGAGAAAGAAACTAAACTTTATTCCCTTGTTTTCGTTGCAGATGTTCATTTTATGGAACATTCTAGTGCCTTGATGTCCTCGCTCTGTAAGTTCCCTTTGGGCTCACTTTTCTCCTGCATTTGGCTTAGCCTTTGCCCCTACTCTTTATTTGCCAACTTTGAAATTCCCTTTTATCCCTTGTCAATGCTGTGCCTCCTCTGCAATCCCAAGCCCTAGAACAGTTGCAGCCATCTGCCTTCTTGCTTCTCTTCCGAGGCAGCTGAAGAGAAGGGTTAGATTACCAAATTTCACAAGGGTACCATCACATATTGATACCTCCCAGGTCCTTCAGGTCCTTCTCTCTGCCCAGCAATTCATTTACTTGGCCCTGGGCACTCCTAAATAGCATCCGTGTCTGTAACCATTTATACCATGGTCAAGTGAAAAACTAGGATTTAGAATCAGATCAGACAGACCTGGGTTTGAGTCACATATCTAAGTCCTATTGATGGTGTGAACTTGGGCAAGTGACATAATCTATGAACCTTAATTTTCTCAAATGTAAAATGAGTACAAAAGTAGCATAATAAGACTAACTACCTAGTTATGTTGATGAGACCCAGTGAGGTGAGGTATAGACAGGCATATCGTACGTATCTCTTTTTCTTCCCATTCCTTTCATGTGGGCCTACCTTCCTTCCTTAATTCTCTCAATTCTCTTTAGCTCTTTAGTGCATTTTTGTAGCTTTTTTTCTTCCTTATTCTGATACACGAAATAGAACAATTATTGCCACAATCAATAAGACCTCCTAAAAGACAACTTTGATCTCGTGTATTTCTGACTCCTCTAAAATGTTTCTAATAGTTGCTCTCTTCTTTTTCAGGAAACTCTTTCATGTAATCTATCCCTTGTCACTCTTTATTTTGCTCTAATTCTCATTCTCTACCTACCTCTTGAACCAGTTAACTCCCTGTCCTCTGCCTGGCCCTTAAATGTCCAGGTTCTCCCAGGCTCCGACCTCAAGTCTTCCCTTTTCACTTCCCATGTCCGCACCAGGTTGAGACTAGAGTGATATCTACAAGGTATCTACAGCATGACACTGGAGGACACCTCTTTCACAGAGTGTGCAAGTACATTCATGCTCTCACTTGCTGTACTGTCATTTGGTCCCGGCCCTTTCAACAAAATTTACTGAGTGCTCAAGCACTACCTCCAGGTACTGTGCTTGGTGCCACAGTATGCATGTCCACTTCCTGGATGCTCACATAGCTGCAACTCCTGTTTATACCACACAGAATCCTGAATATCCACTTCTAGGCAGTTATATTTTCTGAATTCCAGATCATCTTTCTAGCCCCTAACTGTATAGCAGAATATGGCTGGTAATCGATGTTTATGTAATGTTTCTGTTGTGCTGGGCACTGCTCAGTACTTTGCATCCATTGTTATCTCGCCTCATCCTCACAATAGTCCTGTGAGATTATAGGACTCATGTCATGGGACCATGTCATCTGATTTGTGTAAAGGAGCACACCTGACATTCCTGGAGGTGAGGGATTTGCTCAAGGTAACATACTAAAGCATCACAGTAGGATTTAGACTTTGGCAGTCAGATTACTGAGTCTATGCTCTTAGGCATTGTTTTCTGTCCTCATAATCACATCAAACTCAAAATGCCCAAGACATGCTTCATATGCCTCCCCTTAACCTTCTACAGCACATGGTTATTAAGGCATATCAGTTTTACTTCCTTAATAGCATTTGAATTCCTCTCCTCTCTGTACAGCTCCTGTTCAGGTTTCAGCCCTTGTGCCTCCCCTGGATGGTTACAGTAAGTTTAACATTACTCTCCCCTAACCTTTCCCCACACCATCAGTTCATTAGTTCCACCCTGAGCCTGCTGCTCAGCTACAAGTGCTACTTCTGATATCTCTACATTGCACTCTGCTGCCCAGGCTCCTTAGTTTAGGGTCTTTATCATCTGATGAGCTGGCCCCGCTGAGTTTTCCTGCCTCATTTGTCATGGTCAATACTCAAACTAGATGGAGCTCCTGAAATACCTCACATTGTCGTGGATCTGGATCTTTGCACATGAGGGACCCTCTCCCCATGGAATTCCCAGATCAGATTTTTAAGGATAGTGAGCTCTTAAGACCTAGCTCCAAGTACTGACTCTCTGGCGGGTGTTCCTCCATTTGTCATGTTCCTTATTCTGTGCTCCCTTAGCACGTGGAACATATTTTATCAAATAATACTGAAGCTTCTCGCCTGTTCTCATGGGGCTTTAGGTCAAAGTGGGAGTCTGGCTTATCCCCATGTCCCTGGTACCTTGCCACAGTACCTGACGTCGTAGTGCTAACTCAGTAATGTCAGAATGAATGACAGTTTTGACCCATATACTTTACAAAACTGAATTGGTTTCACAGAAAAATTTTGGTTTCAAAATTTCCAATTGACACAATAACATCTTCTCCTTTTAGAAGACAATGTTTAACACAGAAGAGCGAGCTGCATCCATACTGTCAACATATTGGGAAACTACCCCAGCCCTTTCCTCAGGGGCCTATTATCTCTAACTATAAGAGCTCCAGAATCCTACTGCCTTTCTCAAAATTCAGTATTGTGTAGGTTTCATATATTTAACTTTCCTTCAGTATTGTCTGTTGCCATTATTTTCCAGCTCAGAAATCCTGGTTCCTCTTTGTTTCTATCCTTTTTCCTATATGTGAGGTTTTCAGGGGGCAGCAGTCGTCCTATAACCAGCATCTCGTCACTTATTTCAAAGAAAGGATTTGGATCCTTTGTCCTCCCACGTGTCACACTGATGAGATGCATCTAATGACCTGGCTTTATGTGCTACTTTGTGAATTTTCTGCCATGTTTTCTTTCTCCCTTAACTCTACCCACTTTGCTAGTTCAATTTAACCTTTGCATTCTCACACCATTATTTCAGCATTTCAGTCTGATTACAAAGCTGACATCATGTCTGGAGTGGGAACCAACAGGCCAGTCTGCTTTCAAGGGACACTTAGGGTTGGCACCCCTGATCCTGGACCTGTCAGCTACTAGAGTTGATTCTAGTAGGTTGACAAGTAAGTGTGATAAATGCTTCCAACGAGAACATGTGGTTTGTCCAAATGGAAAAGTTCTTGCCCGCATACCTGTCTCTGGGGAGAATATAAAGTCACTGTAGCTGCGAAAAAACAAAGTGATATGTGTTGCATTAACTAAGTTTCTACTTTTTACATCAATTTGTAGACTTCTTTTTCTCTCCTGGGGAGCTCAATTGACTATTGAGTTTCCTCAAATATCAACTCTGAGACATATGAAATAGCAGACAAAATGATTGATTACCAATCCATGAAAAACTGTCATAAGTAACAACTCACTAATGAAAGGTTAATATTCTTGTTTTAACTAATGTGTATATAGCTAAATGCGTATACAATTAAAGGTACACAATATTAAAAAATTAGAGACATGCCTCATTATATAGTTTAAAACTTTAAAACATGCCATATATCTTCAAATAAGACTTTTTGTGTAAATAAGACCATCATTTGTGATTTTATTGCTTCACCTTTTGATTTCAAAGTGGTGAATCTACAAAACCGAAAATAACAGGGTTTTTTTTTCCTACGAGTTCTGCTGTTTCCTTGTCAAGACATTTTCCGAATTTCAACATTTTCTTTTAAACCCAGGAGACAAATATTTTTCTAAGAGGAATTATGTTGTCAAATCATAAGCTCAACAGCATCTATTAAATAAAAACACAGCATAATGTTGTAAATCTATTTAGTGTTTAAGGTGAAGATGGTAACCTAGCTAACAAAGAGCCAGTACATATCAATCCACATGCTGGCTGGTGGAATCTTAAATCTTGCTGTAAAATCATGTAGTCATTATTTATTGAAGACGGCCCCAGACATTTCTTTATCTAAGAGACAAGAGCCCTGGATGCATTTTAAAAAAGGAAACAAACCTGTACATTCAGCACTGAGTAGATATCCAAATAGGCACATGGTGATGAGGCCCCACGACTCTGCCATGATGGTGTTCAGGAGCTGCATAACCTCTGCTAGTAGACTGTGCAAGTGGTGAGCGTGATCAATAGTTCCAAAGTACAAGCTGAGCTGTGTTTACTTGTGGGAAATAATGTCCATCTCCCACCGTGGATCTTGGGCTATTTCCAATGGTCTCTTGGGTCAAGCGAAAGAATTGGCAATGGTCATCATTAAAGTTTCTCTTTGATTGCAGGAGCTTCTGCTACTATGGCTGAGCTTGAGGCTGAAGCTGGAAGTGACACATCTGTAGAATGGAGATAGATGGAGTGGCAATAGTTGCTGTGTGGCAGCAAAATACACCAGTGGGTTCCATTTTATCTTTGCCAGGAAACAATAACATCAAGTAATTTAAAGGTAAAGAGATGGAAAATACAGTCATCGGGTCACTCACTCTAAAGTACCTTAAAAAATGCTTGAGTCACCTGATAGATTTTTTTTTTTTGGTACCAGGGATCAAACTCAGGACCTTGCCCTTGTGAGGCAGGCACCGGCACCACTGAGCTAAGTCCCTGGCCCCCTGATAGATTTTTTTTGTGTTCTCCATAATCAGGAGTTTATAGACTTTCTTGTGCCATGCGCCATATGGTAAAACATGGACCCTGTTTCAGGACATGTGTATGTATGCATACGTATACACATTATACACAAACACACATATTTATACACGTGTAAGAATATACTATCACTTGCCCTTCTTTGTGATATTGTTGTGATACATTTTACTTCTACACATTAAAAATTCTATATCACATTATTATTTTTGCTTAAATCAGTCCACAATCTTTCAAAACAATTTAAAATGATGAAACATCTTTTCTACTTAAACATGTATTTACCATTCTAATACTCTCATTTGTGTAGATTCAAGTTTCAATCTATTATAATATTTTAATTTCTCTGAAGAACTTTCATTAACAATTTTGACATTGTAGGTCTCATGATACATTTTCTCAACTTATGTTTATTTGAAAATTCTAGGTTGAGTATTTTTCCTTCTTCCAGCACATTAAAGATATCATCCCATTGTCTTCTGGCCTGCATTATTTCTGATGAGAAGGCAGTAAATATCCTTATCATTGATTTCCAGCAACCTGACTACTATAAGCCAAGATGTTTTTGTTGAGATTCTTGGATCTGTTTGATATTTTTAATAAAATGCAGAATTTGGAGGGTCTTATTTTTAAAATTTTTATTTTAAACTAATTATAGAGCCATAGGAAATTGCAAAGACAGTAAAAACAGATCCCATATACCTTGCACCCAGTTACTACCAAGGTTCACATCTTATATAAATATAGTATGACACTAAAGCCAGGAAATGGTCATTAGTATAATGTATGTGTTTAATTCTAAGTCATTTTATTGCATGTGTAGACTTATGTGACCATCTCTATAATCAATACACAGAACAATTCTATCACTGCTAAGATCTCCCCTGTGCTACTACTTTATAATCACACTCACCTTTCTATCAATAATCCCTAACTCCTGGAACAACTAATCTGTTTTATCTCTATAATGAAAATGCTGTATGAATGGAATCATACGGTGTATGACCTTATGAAGTTGTCTTTTTTCATTCGGCACAATGCCCTTGAGATCCATCTAGGTTGTTGTACATTTTGATAGCTAATTCTATTTTATTGCTGAGTAGTATTCCACAGCAAGGATGTAGCACAGTTTAACTGGCTAAGAGGCATTTCAATTGTGTCCAGTTTTTGTTATTGCAATAATGCACTATGAATCTACAGGCTTCTGTGTGCATGTAACTTTTTAATTTCTCTGAAATTAATGCCCAAGGATGAAATTTCTTTATCATGTAGCAGTTGTATGTTTAGTTTTTAAATAACCTACCAAACTGCCAGAACGACTGTATACTTTTCTTTTCTACCAGCAATGGATCAGCGAGTGATCCAGCTTCTCTGCATTCTTACAAGCGTTCGATATGGTCAATATTTTTTGTTTAGTCCTTTTGCGAGATGTGTAGTGATATCTCATTGTGCTTTTCTCAGTTTTCATTTTTTATTAGTCCATGTGTGCAGTGCATAATGATCATACTCCTCCTGGGGAGTTGGTGCATGGACATAACACAGCTTCATTCCTTTCTTTGTCCCCTTCGCCTTTCTCCCTCCCCTTCCCTCCATCTCCTGGCCCCCTTCCCCCTTTCCCTTATCTCTCCTTGTCCTATTATATATTTTTATCTTGCTATTTATTTATATTTGGGGATTCTCATATAAGAAAAGCCATATGATATTTCAGTTTGTGTGTCTCATTTATTTCACTTCATAAAAAAAGGTTCAACATCTCTGGTCACTGGACAAATGTAAATTAAAACAACACCCAGATTTCATGTTACTTCAGAAAGAATGGCTGTTATCAAGAAATCAAATAGCAAATGCTGGTGAAGCTGTGGGGAAAAAGGAACACTTCTCCATTGTTTTTTTTTTCTCTTAAATTCTTCTATTGGTACATTTTAGGTATACAATGCATTTACAATCATCATTGGGATCTTCTACCTTTACATGATATATCTTGGTTTTTATTTTTCCCATTCCCCTGCCCTTCCTTCACCCCCTCCACCCCTCCCCATTTGCAAAGGCTTTGTTTCCATTTATTTCTTATCTCATATTCTTTCCTTTCCCTTCTTTCCTTTCCCCTACCCCTTCCATTTCCCCTAGCCCTTTGGACCTTTTCTTCCTATTTCACATCATCTATTATTCATTTTAATCATTATTTACACTTTCAGTTTCTCATACCAGAGAAACTATTTGGTATTTATACTTGTGTGTCCTATTTATTTCACTTAAGAGTATGTCCTCAATGTGCATCAATTTAGCTATAAATGTCTCTAATTTCTCATTCTTTATGGCTGAGTAGTACTCCTATTTTTAAAAATACCACATTTTCTTTATCCAGTCTCCAGTTAATAGGCACTTGGGCTGTTTCTAAGCTTTAGCTATTACAACCTGTGCCACTATAAACACGGGTGTGCATATATTCCTGTAGTATGATTCTTTTAGTTCTTTTGAGAACACAGTAGAGGAATAGCTGGGTCAAATGGGACCTCTAATCCTAGTTCTTTGAGGTATCTCCATACTGATTTCCACAGTGGTTGCACCAGTCTGCCCTCCCACCAACAGTGAATGTCTCCATTTTTGATGGCAATATAAACTAGTACAACCACTACGGAAATATATATGGAGATTCGTTAAAAAACAAAAAATAGAAATTCTACTGCACCTAGCTATTCCCCTTTATGTGTCTTCCCAAAAGAGATAAAGACATCATAACACAGTGATGTATCTACCTTGTTTATAACAGCCACACAACTCATAAAAACTAAATCTTGGAAGTGGCTCATGTGTCCATCAACAGATGAACAGATAAAGAAATGTGATACTTATACACTTTTAATTTGTGTTTTCTGAATGGCAAATGATTTGCACACTGTATCATTTATTTAGCATCTGCAATCCTCTTCGATGTCTTGCCCATTTTCTCACTGGATTGTTTGAATTTTCTTACTGTTGAATCTTTAAGCTTCTTCATGTATTCTAGATACAAGTCCTTTTTCAGATATTTTGTTTGTAAATATTTTGTCCGAGCCTATAGTTTGTCTCTTCATCCTTTTGAAGAGGTCTTTCACAGAGCAGAACTTTTTAGTTTTGTTGTAGTCCAGTTTATCATTTTTTTCTTCTGTGGATCACCTTCAGAAGTCTTTTACTAAATCCTTACAATTTTTTTCATGTTTTTAAAACATTGGATAGTTTTCACTTTTGGGTTTATGCCTATGCTTCATTTTGAGTTGGTTTTCATATAAGGTATAAAGTTTAGGTCAGGCTTCATCTTTTGGCCTATGGATATCTAATTCCTCTGGCACCATTTGTTAAAAGAAATAGAGTACCTCTGTAGAATGGCATGTGCAATTGTTTCACAGAGCACTTGAGCATCTTGTTTTAGGTCCATTTCTAGATACCACACAGTATTTCTAGTACCACGCTGTCGTGATTATTGTAACTGTATGGAAAGACTTTATATCAGGTAGAGGGATTCGCTCCATTTTACTCTTCTTTGGAAAGATTGTTCTAAATATTCTAAGGGCCTATACCGTTTCATATAAATTTAAGAATGGTCTTATTTGTATTAAAAAAAACTCTTGCTGGGATTTTTTTAAGGATTATATAAAATGCATAGGTCAATTTTGGAGAATTGATATCTTCAATGAGTTATGTTTTCCAACCCATGAACATTTTATGTACATAATATTATGTAAATACAGTCTGCCAAAAAACATATGCACTCTTCAGGAAATGAAAAACAGTATAATGTTTTTAAAACAGACTCTAGGGACAGGGATTTAGCTCAATGGTTCTGGCACCTGCCCTGCAAGCACGAGGACCCAAGTTCAATCCCCGGTACCAAAAAAACCCCCAAACAAACGGACTCTATTACCCTCGTATGGGGAACCCTAGAGGATGCTGTATATCGCAGAAAACCCACTGCACTGCCGGCCCTTAGAGGAGAAATTGCCAATGCATGTGCAGCGATCTGAATGACCAAGGTTACCCGAGCAGCAGTTCACCGTACTAATAAATGTCTGGAAGCCAATGGCCACCACTTTGAGCACCTCCTGTAATTATAGAGGCCAAAGGTAACTTGTATGAATCTCATGATGTCTCAATCTATTTAATATTAAAGTGTTCACATCAGTTTTTCTTTTCCTAAAGTATGTACGCCTTTTTGGCAGACTCTGTATTTAGGTCTTTGATTTCTTTCCTTGGCATCTTGTAATTTTTAGCATCTAGATCCTGTATTTGTTTTGGTAAGAACATATCTCAGTGTTTCGTTTTCTCTGGCATAATTATGAAGGCTACTGTATTTCTTTGGCAGACATTCTTTGAAAGAGAAGTTTTAGGATCACAGCTAAATTGGGAGGAAGGCTAGAGACTGCCTATGTATTCCCTGTCCGCATTAGTGCACTGTCCCTCCCATCATCGCTATGCCCTAGCAGAGCAGTACATTTGTTAACATTGATGACCCTACATTGGCCTATCTTTG